GAAACGGGTACCGGACGACACGTTCCCCGTGCTATCATGGTCGATTTGGAGCCTACAGTCATAGGTATGTGTGCGATTTGTCAAACTCATGTTTGCAACTGTGTGATTTTCATTAAGAAATTAACAGTGCTATCTGGGGATTCTAGTTGCAAATGATTTTTAAATGACGTACTCATCAGAATTTTGCTGATTGATTTCATAGAAACATTCCATTACACTTGTTCCGAAAGATTGATCGTTAATAAAATTTCGCAATTGCAGATGAGATTCGCACAGGAACATACAAGCAACTGTTTCATCCTGAACAAATGGTCACTGGCAAGGAGGATGCGGCCAACAACTATGCTCGAGGCCATTACACGATCGGAAAGGAGGTGATCGATCTTGTGTTGGACAGAATTCGCCGTCTCACAGAGAATTGTTCAGGATTACAAGGTTGGTCAGTCATATCGTTTGCAGTTTAAGATACTTCTCAAGTTTTGATTAGCGATGCCGTAACTGCCAGCTTGCAGTGATGATTCAATTCCTGAATTTAAAGATTTTAGGTTTCCTGATCTTCCATTCGTTCGGAGGTGGTACTGGATCCGGTTTCACATCGTTGTTGATGGAGCGTCTTTCGGTGGATTATGGTAAGAAGAGCAAACTGGAGTTCTCCATCTATCCAGCACCTCAAGTCTCGACTGCTGTCGTTGAGCCATACAACTCAATTCTGACAACGCACACAACACTCGAACATTCCGATTGTGCGTTCATGGTTGATAACGAAGCGATTTATGACATCTGTCGTCGCAGTTTGGATGTTGAGAGACCATCATACACCAATTTGAATCGTTTGATTTCGCAGGTTCGTTTAGTAGTAAAGTAATTCGATTACTGTTACTGTTATTACTACTATAATTATTATTATTTTTATTATCATCATTAATGGTGAAGTTCTCTTTTTCGAGAAATTTATCGAATTTAATTTCGCTTTCAAATTGTGGAGTAGAAATATTTCAGGTTGTGTCATCGATAACCGCATCGCTTCGTTTCGATGGAGCGTTGAATGTTGACCTGACGGAATTCCAAACGAATTTAGTACCGTATCCGAGAATACACTTCCCGTTGGCTACGTACGCACCAGTGATATCGGCCGAGAAGGCATATCATGAATCGTTATCGGTTGCTGACATCACCAACTCGTGTTTCGAACCGTGCAATCAAATGGTCAAAGTATGAGTTGACTTGCTTTAGTTTCTTGTGAATTCTTTTGATTACTCAGAGTGAATCATTGCGGAGTTTTATTCGGATATTTGAATCATCTGATAACCGTTAGATGTTTTTGCTGTGAATGTGCTGAGCATTGATGTTTCAGTGTGACCCACGAAAGGGGAAATACATGGCCGTTTGCCTTCTATATCGTGGTGATGTGGTACCGAAAGATGTGAATCAAGCAATTNGATTCCAAAGGAAACGTTTGCATTAACGAGTGAAAGATTGATTGGTGCATGATATATTGGTGAGTTGAAATGATTATCTTGCATTTCATTATATATTCCCTGTTTAGGTCGGTATCAATTATCAACCGCCAACGGTGGTACCAGGTGGTGATCTTGCGAAGGTGCCGCGTGCAGTTTGTATGCTCGCCAATACAACTGCCATTCAAGAAGCATGGGCACGTCTCGATTATAAGTTCGACTTGATGTACGCGAAACGAGCGTTCGTACATTGGTACGTCGGTGAGGGCATGGAAGAAGGTGAATTCTCGGAGGCTCGTGAAGATCTGGCTGCGCTCGAGAAGGACTACGAGGAGGTGAGCATGTCTTCTGGAAATTTTTTTTGCATTTCTCGTTGATATGGTTTGGTATCAGCGAAATCATTAATTATCTGTTGATTGAGGCTTGACGACCTAAAAAGCGATATTAGTGTGCAGTTCAGTTGTTTTGAACTTGTATTTGATCATCATAACGTTTAGAATATCAATTTTTGGATTGGCATTCGCCAATAAATGATCACGAAATTAATTTCAGGTTGCAATTGAATCATTGGAAGGTGAGGAGGAAGGTGAAGAATACTAAACGATGATATCCATTCGGTGTTGATTGATAAATTTTATTTTATGATATTGTTCTGTCTCATATGCTGTTCTAATCTTATGTTTTTATTTCAATCCCTCAAGCTTTATTCACTGCGTTCTTTTTAAGCTGTCCTCAAAGCTATGAGTGGCAATTTTTTTGCACGTATGTTCCAAGTTCATTCAGTTTTATCCGTTGGTAAACTTTTATCTCTCATTACGTTTTATGGCGTTGGTATTGTGCAGCATTATGATTCCATGTTTTTTAAATCGTTATCTCTTTCAATGCAAATACTTATTCTATTCTAAATATGATTTTATGCAATTTCTTCTTGGATGTTTCTTTTTTAGTTCAATAAATATTTTAGATATTTGAATGCCTTATATCTCTTTGTTGTTTTTATGCAGATTTATCATCTGCGGGTTAAGAGAACATGCCACTATCTGATAAAATCAAGAAAATAACCGTATTTTGTTGAGGAATCATTGATGAGAGCTAGAATTGGAAACATTTTTGTGGTATCTTGAGGTGCTCAATAGACAGTCAATTGAATAAACAGTTTTTACTAAATGAATAATCTGTCGAATGCGCAGGATTAGTGCTCAAATTTATGGAAGCTGAGCTCACTCAATTGCTTGATATCATAACGAATGCCATAG